TTATGGTGTTGTTTGACATGGGGTCTAAATATTCATGTATTAGTAATAAATTGGTAAGAGAAGTGAGAATACAATTAGAAGTTAATGGTAATGATTTGATAGTGATCAATTCGTTAGAACAATGCTCGGGTGAATAGAGTGTGTTAAGGGTGTTTCCTACTGATTCAGGGAATTGAATTCCCTGCTAATCTGATGAAATTACCTTCTAATAAATTTGAAGTGATGCTAGGAATGGAAATGTTATATCGCTATCATGTAAATATTGATTGTGAAGGAAGAATGAAACATTAATTATTTTAGAAGAATGAGAAATTATCGTAGTAGAAGATGATATCCGGATAAATTAATCAAGTATCAAGTAAAGGAAATAAGGATTCGGATGACAAGGGAAAAATTAAGGATTGATAGAAAGGTTAAGATGATAAAAAGGGATATGTGTATTGTGATTCGAATAAGTATTTTTCAAATAATAAGATTTATGCAAGTAATGCTAACTTGGAGTTATTGAATGCGATAAAGATTGATGATCAGTGATAAGTATAAATGATATGAAAAGAGTATATGAGTATGAAGGAAAAGATATGGTCTATTTATAAGGGGATTTTGGTTTCTGGAAAAATAGTTAAATTGAAGTTAAAGAGAGAGTTAAAGGATCCAGTACAATAACAATTATTTTGAGGTGTAGATTATAAGTTTAATTAGAAATAAGAAAAATATGTAAAGTTGTATAAAGAGATTGTTGGATTCTGCAAAGAGTATATTGTAATCATCTGAGATAAAGATTTAAAGTCATGTCTCTTAGTTAAGCAGATATGGTCAATAAAATAAATAATAGTTTATATGTATTAAGGAAGTTTATAAGGTGGTTAAGTGATGATAGAATATGATAAGGAATTCTGATCGATTTATGATTTTGAATAATAAGAATTGATGTTATTGTTTATATGATAAGTGAAAATAAAGAAAGATAGTTGAAGAACTAAAGGAATAAATACAAGTTTTGACGATGACATAAAATATTAAATAAAGGAAGCAATATGAGAACATTAGAAGATATATTTTTATCAATGTGTGCAGTGAAAATTCGAGGATGAATTTTCTTAAGAGGAAGATTTGTAACATCTTTATACCAGGTTAGTGACCAAATTGTTAAATTTAAGAATTTAGTGACTAAAGTAGAATAATTAAATAGTTTAAGGACTTATATAAAAATATTATGTAGGATTAAACTATAAAGAGGGAAGAATTGAATGAAAAAATGGTCATTTGTAAGGAAAATAATTAAATATGGTTATATATATATTAACCATGTGGGGGGAAAGAAGGGAAACTAAGTGAGTTTCCAAAGTTCTCTTCTTCTCCTTTCTTCTTCACGTGTGGAAGCCAATAACCAAATGTGAGTTTCTGGTTAATTGATTTCTTGTTAAATTTAAGGTTGAGTTTTGATTATTAGGTGATAATTAAGCTTAAGGAGAGCTTAAATTGTCTTGAAACAATAAGATGAAGAGAATTAAAGAATTAAAGAAAAGAGAAGAATAAGTAAAATCTTGAAAGAGGGTTCTTTAATGAGGTTTAAGAGTGAATTTGACTTGTGATCAATCTAATTAATATGTATGAAGTGTTATAATTGGATTTGTAACATGTTAAAATTTGGGTATGATTCTTGAATTTCATAAGGAGGAGAGGATATGGAGGTTAAAGAAGTGATTATTGAGTAGAAAAGAGTGCAAGTATGTGTATGAGAGTTAGGAATATTAAAGGGGGTGAAATATGAGGAGTTGAGGTAAAAATGAAGTGATTTTCGAGCTCAAAATGTAATTTATGAGTCGAGCTCAAAATGAAGTGAATATGTACCGATGCACTCTGAATGGAATAAAAACATCGAATGTAATAAGTGCATCGATGCATAGGGAGTGCATCGATACACCTCTTAAGATGAAAACATCAAATGTAATTTGTGTACCGATGCATAGGTAGTGCATCGATACACACGTTTAGGAATGCATCGATACACTATAGTGTGTACCTATGCACTTCAAGGGGAAATAGAAATAAACCTTTCTTTTGGTCTAAGAAATGATAGATTAGAGTATATCAATTGGATATTGATATGTATTAATGTGTGATTATGTAGATATCGAGCACAAACAAGTTCCGGGATGACTATCAAGTTAAGATTCGATCGAAAGAAAGGAAATCGTAAAAGGGGATTGGAACTTAATGAGGCCAAGGTGAGTACATACTAGTTGTAAATGATGTATATGGAAATAAGACTCACGTTGAGTCTAATTCCAATATTTGATTGCATAAATATAGGAATGTTAGTGTATGTTTTGAGATGACTAGTATGTATGCATGAATACATGGATAAATTCGTAAAGGCTACATGTTATATGGTATGATAATGAATATAAGGAGTTATAATATAAGTTAGGTGGTATTGACATAAGTAATTATAGAAACATATAATATAAGACAAGTGAACTCAAAATAAGTGAATACATGAAATGATATATAATTAATGTGATGTATATGTAAACATATATGAACAAGTTATGGCATAAGTGATTACATGAACATAGATGAAATAATATAAACTATGAGACATGATATATGTGATTACATGTTATATGATATGAGATTGGTGTTTACACATACATGTGGTGTGTGATAGAAGAGGAGGAACATGTGATCATAAGAGCAATGATATGAATCATAATGATAGTGCCCGTGTTATATGATGTGAGAGCTATAGGTATAGTTGGCATTCCAAGTGTCGAGGGTTACCGATGTCTTTCGAGACATATGGACAGTTTACCTATGTCCTTCAGGACAAATTTCATATGCCATGAAGTGGAAATTATATGAGCTGTGGTGACAACATATGTGCACAACCTCAAAGTACTCATATACCTTAAGTTCTCAGTAATATACACGGGCACATAAAATATATAAAAGAGTTTGATTTCTTATAAGATATCATGTTATTATTGGTTAATGGTGGATCATAAGTGATGTCATTAAATAGTAAAATGATAACTGTGATTGCATATGGAATGATTAGATTGCATGTTCATACTTTAGGAAATGTATTATTTTATTATAATTATATGCCTTACTAAGTAAATTACACAGTATGTATTTTGTTGTAACAAATGTATTGGCATGTAGACAAATTGACAAATTGTGATTTACATATGCTCTGATTGGTTTTTGTAATATTTTGATTGTCCTTATGTAAATGGTTAACTTTATGTTAATGAAAGTTTAAATTTTCCATGATTTCTATAAATATAAACGTTTTGAATTATCAGTGTGACACATAGGATTCATATTCGAGTTGGGTACAGGTTGGGGATGTTACAAGTGGAGAAAACATCTTACGGAACCTGTAGTTTGAATCAGGTCGTCATGCTAACGACGTTAAATAAAGCACTTTAATGGGAGGTAACCCATTTTTATATTTTATTTGCTTAATATTTAATTAATTAATTAATTAGTTAATTTTTATTTTTCTTTGAATTTTACAGGTACTCCGTCATTCCTAATTAAATTTGGATTTACTTGATACATTATGCATATTCTTGTGAGCTTTGAGTCTAATGAGCATACACTTTTCGTTTTTTCTCTTTTTTTCTTTGTGTGTGTCAAACTAGTTTTAGCATTCTAAAACTTGTGATGTAACACTAGTCGAGACTAAATCCATGAATTTGATGTTTTTAGTATGATAGAGGCCCTTAGAATTAACCCTTTCGCTACCCAAAATGCCTACCCTTTTACCCCTTAGTGAACCATATTTGAGCTATTTTCCTTTTTTTCTTTGATTTTCACCTCATCAAATTAAACCCGAAGCCTTTTATTTCATATCTTTTTTTGCATACCTTTGCCGAGACTCGAGATTATTGTTCTACGATAAAAAACAAATTTTCTGTTCAATAAAAAAATTCTCATTGAAAAAAAGGAAAAAAAGAAGTTTAAAAAAAATAGTGAACAATGCGTTGTTTTAAAAAACAAAGAAAGAAAAAGAAAAACATACCCTTTATTCGAATAAGAAGAAAAAAAAAAGAAATTTTGGTTGTTTCAAATGTCTTTTATCTATTATTTTTACTTGTTCTATTTTTTTAAGCTTTATGTTAATTTATGGATTATTTCGAATCTCTTTGATCTTTTATCTTGAAAACTTAAATCATTTCTTTTCGGCCTTTATCCTTACCCATACCTTAACTAATTTACAATCTTATTTAAAGACCTCTTGAATTTTACATTATATTTATTTTTAAATAGTGGAGATTGGATTTAATTATAAGCTTATGGTGATGCTTTGACTTATTTTGAATTGAGTTTTGCATCACGAGATTTGTGAACTATCAGTATGTCTATCTATACGTGTAAATAAACTTATAACATCATTCGATTAAAAATTAAATTTATTTTTATTTATTAAAAGTGTGATAAAACTAAGATAAAACTAAGATAATGTGTAAATAAACTAAGATAATGTGTAAATAAAAAGATCTAAATGTGTGATGATATTAAAATTTTAATTGTTATTACTGACATTTAACTTAAGATAATTATATATTAATTAAATAAAAACAAAATTAATTATATTTTATGTTTTTCAAAACTAGTAATCAAAAGTAGACAAGACAAAATAAACAAAAGTGATCTATCTAAACCTAGATGTAAGTGAGATTAAGGGCATTAAGATTAGATTGAGTTATTTTAAGTCTAGATTCTGTTCACTTTATAGATCAGATTCACAGATCGAATTTATCGGATTAATTTTCGGATTGCATCAAAAATTTAGATCAATTAGTTTATTTTTTCCGATTACAGGGACATCAATTATAGGAGAAAGTAGCAAAAAGAATGAAAAGGCAAGCGATTCGCAAAATTCTCTTTCATTAAGTTATATGCGATGATAGAAAGCTATTTACATTAATTATACAACCCAAATGAGTGTTGGCTCAGTCCTCAAAAACCTTGTCGAAATGACCACCAATTCACTCAAAGGATATTTGCTGTAAAGAATTGGTTCAGTTGGGACCCCAACAGCTCAAGTACATGACCGTCCGCAGAGACTCTTCAGATTGTTTAGACTTGAGTCCTTGGGAAATTGCAGCGGAGGATTGAGAAGAGAGAGTCTTGGCCTGTGAAGCAGACCGGAGATGGTTCTTGGCATGCTGCACGGCTGACCTTACAGTATAGTTCCATCTGCAGACGCCTTGGTCTTTCAATGCTTCCACTGCTCCAATACTAGCTGCCACGATCCACGCTCTGCTACTTGAACTCATTTCGTGAAGTTTGTATTAAGAAAGAGACACTGATTTTTGCTGTTTTGTTGGTGGGAAAGTGGAAGAAGGGGATTCTTATATTTACAAGAGAACCAAAACTACTTGCTATCTGCTCATGGTTTCGACAATGGTTTTGGTTCGGTGGGCGCATAGGTTGGACGGATTTGGAAGAATATGACATAAAAGTCCTTGTGAACTAACTCGATGACAACAAGTTGTGAGGGCAAAAATGGGATTCAGAATGATATTCGATCCCAAGATAATTAAAAAGTGGGCAGTGGGCACATGGGTTTTGGAAGGATGTGACAGAAATGTCCACGAAAACCACCTGTGTTATGGGGAATGCAAAACAGGCTACAAGTTTGGAGGAAAAACAAGAGGCATATTTTGGTAATTGAGCAAACTATTCATGGTTAAATAGTTTAAATGTTCTTACCTTATGACTTGCTGGTACGATGCTTACACGTCGCCTAATCCACTTTGTAGCAGGATCGGCTGACAGCAGTCTCCGCGCCCGGGCCTGGTGAGAGTGATTATTTTTCTATATTAAAATTCAAAAATTTTAATTATTTATTTTATTGATTGTGTTAATCTTAAAAAAATTATGTTCATCTTAATATATCAGTTTGTTTTAGATGATTATCCAGCTCAGTTGGTAGAGGACAAGGTTCTTAACCTTGAGGTCTTGGGATCGAGTCCCACGGAGGGCATTTTATAATTCGGAGGTCTTATACGGAAGTTGCTCTTAACCTGTTGTTGGGGGCAGCCTACTTTCTTACCTCCCCCTTACCCCATTATATATAGGAACAAGGGACATCCATTTTTTTTATATATGAGTTTTCCTCGATTAGTTATTTATTTTATGGACTGTATACACCCTGAAATTTTATTTGTATCTAACATATTCAAAAATTTTATATTGTTAACATATGTGTGCTCACATTAAAAAATATTTATGAATCCACAACTTACCGACATACTTAATTAACTAGTGTTTATTTTATGCAATATTTTATGATTAAATGATCATCGTTTGTTCATTATTATTATTGATTTTACCTTTTTACAAGATATTATTTCAAGGCAATGACTTCTAGAAATATGCTTAAAAAGACTAAAAATTGTACTTTTTGTTCTGGAATCGAGGCTGGAACAGTGAGTATGAATTTGGGCATGAAATGTTGATGTGGCAGTGAGTCAGCACCTTCTAGAAGGTTCGCACAGCAGCGTTCAATGTTTATTTTGGCCAATATTTTATGATTAAATACTCCTCGGTTGTTAATTATTATTACTGATTTGGGTCTTTTTACGTGATTTCTGTGTAGGGCAATGACTTCTGAAAAATGTGCTTAACATGACTAAAAATTACACTTTTTGTTCTCGAATCAAGGTTGGAACAGTAGGCATGAATTTGGGCATGAAATGTTGACGTGACAGTGAGTCAACAAATTCTAGAAACTCCACTCAGTAGCGTTCAATGTTTATTTTGGACAACATTTTATGATTAAATACTCCTCGTTTGTTCATTATTATTGCTGATTTTGGACTATTTATGTGATTTCTGTGCAGGGAAATGACTTCTGAAAAATGAACTTAAAATGACACTTTTTGTTCTGGAATCAAAGTTGGAATAGTGAACATGAATTTAGGTATGAAATGTTGATGTGGCTGTGAGTTAACAACTACTAGAAGGTCCAGTTAACAGTGTCCAGTCAACAATTCTAGAAAGTGGATGGACGGCTGAAGTATTTCAAGCATTTGAAAATCAAGTTTTTAGGAATTATCTTTTTAATTTTTAGGATTTAAATTTAAATAATTATCTTTTGTATTTTCAGCATATTTTAGGGTTTTAGGAAGATATAAATACACACTTTGGGTAAAGCTTCAATGACATCTCAGATTGCATTATTTCTTTCTTTCTTTCTTTAGTTTAATAAAAATCCTTTCTTATATTCTATTTTCGTTTTATTTAATTTTCTTTTAAGCTGATGACTAAAGTGATGATTTAATTCCAACATGAGAATTGAAAAACACTCAAATAACTTCAGAAATCTCTCTCAATTTCTTGCGTTTATTTTAAAAAATCAAAACGATTTCAAAACCAAAGATTGGCGTTGGTCAGGATGTTGTTAAGATGAAATGTGTGGAGGAAGGATCGATTTATTGAAAGCACATTCGACTTCTTGGAAACACACTTAGCAAATTGATTGCTAAGAGGGAATTGAGGTCGAAATAGGTTATTATTGAAACAACATAATCTAAGACGCTCTTTTACGAACTTAAATGGTTTTTAATCTACAACAATTGATGTTGATTACTTAATTTCCAAAGACGGAATCAAAGGTTGCACTTGGGTATTTGGTATACAAAGCATAGTCATAAGGATTGATCATTATAGACAAGTAATCGACGTAAATCCTGAAGTAAAAACCATTTTTGATGATCCAAGGAAACTGAGTCAAAGAGAAAGCCCAAGGCTGATTTTGCCATATTGAATTTATTTCTTTTAAATCTTTTTCTTAATCTTCTTTCACTTCTCTTCAATATTCTTTATTTTCTTGTTTTTATTTTATTTTACTCTCTTCATCTACAAAGCCTCATCATTACTTGAATACCACACAATCCACTTATTGGCACAAACATTAATCAAAGCACGAATAAATCAGGAAGTCTCCTTAGTCTCTATGGGATCGATCCTTATTTCTCCTTTACTATGTTAAATTTTTTTTTATTTATTAATTTAGAAGAATAAATTATTTTGACACAAAAAATGATGCATGTCAAATTGAAGGCGTTGTCGAGGACTAACGACAGTTTACTAATTTCTTTCTTTCTTTTGTTTTTAATTTATGACCAGGAAGTGGTGTAACATCCTCAACACCGGGTTAGTGACCAAATTGTAAAACTTCATAATTTAGTGACTAAAGTAGATAAATTGAATAGTTCAAGGACTTATATGGAAAATTTTGTGTATGACTAAATAGCAAATAATGATGAATGGAAGGGAAAAATGGTCATTTGATCCAGAAATGAATTAAAAATGTATTGTGGTAAGGATATAAACACGTGAAATTGAAGGATTAAGGGAAAAGAAAGTTTCCAGATAACTCTTCTTCACTCTTCTTCCTCTTTCAGCCGTGAGTTATCCAAAAGCAAAGGTGAGTTTCTTGTTAGCTGTTCTTGAATTGAATTTAAGTTTGGTTTATGTTCTTTAGATGATACTTAAGCTGAAATAAAGCTTAAGTTGTCTTAAAATCAAAAGATAAAGGAGTTTGGAAGGATTAAAAATAAGAGGTTTATAAGTGAAATTTTGGGAGAGAGTTAGTAAGTAAAGTTTGAAACTAAATATGACTTGTAATCAGCTAAATTAAGAAGTATGAAGTGTTAGAATTGAAATTAGAACATTTTGAAAAATTGGTAGGATTCTTAATTTCAAAATATAGGATGATATTTGGAAGATAAGGGCGTGTTATATGAATATAAATTGATTGGAGTATGTGTATGTAAGTTTAAGTATATGAAATGGGTGAAGGAATGAAAGGTTTAGATTAATATGGGTAAATTTTGGGTTTAAAAACTGATTTATGGGCTATGGGTATTGGTACTGATTCATCAAGTACCGATACTTCAAAGGTAAAAGAGTGATATTTAGTATAGGGGGTATCGATACCATAAGCCAAAATTTAACAAGTTATTTAAGGGGTATTGATACAAAATGGGTAGTATCAATACTCAGGGTACCGATACCATAGATCAGGTATCGATACCATTTTGGAAATAAGAATCACAGAATCGAAAATGGGTATCGATACCTAGAATTCTGATATGCACATCAAATGTATGATTGTGTAGATATTGAGCATAAGTAAATTCTGGAACGACCGAAGAGTTAGGATCAATTAAGAAGAATAAAGTCATAGAAATTGATTTGGATTCAGTGAGGCTAAGATGAGTGCATGTTATAGTATAGGTGTAGTTTTATGAAAATAAGACTTATGATAAGTCTATTTCCTATTTTAAAGTTCATGGTTCAATAGTTATGAACATGCATATATTATGATTATTATAAACACATGCATAAGTGTTATTTGTTTATATGGTTTTACATATGCTACATGATACATGTGAACATAATCAAACAACATAAGATATATGACATGATATAGTTGATTATATGTACATGTGATACATGGTATGTGATAATGCATACATGGTTATAAGAGAAATGATATGAGTATATGAATATATGATGAATTAGTGATGATATCGATATATAGAACATATAAATATTTAAGCCCATGTTATGTAATATGAGAGCTATAGGTATAGTTGACATGCCAAGAGTCAAGGGTTATATGAGGTCTTTCGGGACATATACGATGTAACATCCTCAATACCGGGTTAGTGACCAAATTGTTAAGTTTCAGAATTTAATGACTAAAATAGAATAATTAAATAGTTCAAGGACTTATATGAAAATGTTGTGTAGGATTAAACTATAAAGAGGGAAGAATTGAAGGACAAAATAGTCATTTATAAGGAAAATAATTAAATATGGTTATATATATTAAGCACATAGGGGAAAGAGGGGAAACTAAGTGAGTTTCCAGAGTTCTCTTCTTCTCCTTTTTTCTTCACGTGTGGAAGCCAAGAGTCAAAAGTGAGTTTCTAGTTAATTAATTTCTTGTTAAATTTAAGGTTGAGTTTTGATTATTAGGTGATAATTAAGCTTAAAGAGAGTTTAAATTGTCTTGAAACAATAAGATGAAGAGAATAGAGGGAATTAAAGAAAGTAGAGGAATAAGTGAAATCTTGAAAGAGAGTTCTTTAATGAGGTTTGAGAGTGAATTTGACTTGTGATCAATCTAATTAACATGTATGAAGTGTTATAATTGGATTTGTAACATGTTAAAATTTGGGTATGATTCTTGAATTTCATAAGGAGTAGAGGATATGGAGGTTGAAGAAGTGATTATTGAGTAGAAATGAGTGCAAGTATGTGTATGAGA